GAGCCTAACACAAAGCGGAGCGGCGACGCACTGGCGCCTACAAACCTAACAGGGATACTTCACGCATTGCGCAACGCGTGAAGTATCCCTGTTAGGTTTGTAGGCGCCAATGCGTGTTTCGCGCTGGCTGCCCGCCTGCCACGGCGCTTGAAGCAACTCTTGCTTGAAGGCACTCTAGTATATTAGTAATGGCAGGCATCCATCAAAAGTACGGAGCTATCCTCGCAAAATAAATCAAGATACTACGGCCCCAAAAGAGAGCAGTATTCGAAAAACTCACTATAAGTCCTAGCATCCGTAATTAGTAACATTTAGCATACGCTTTATCGCCTGGCTGTTGCTTAATCGCCATCAGCTAGAAAAGGCTAAAAGAATTTGAGTAGCCGGATATGGAAGCTATTGGAAATCTTACAGCCGGCTGTAGGTATGGTATTTTGGAACACAGATTCTACTGCCAATTTTTACCAGGGTTCATCTCTATCTCCATCCCCATCCCCACCTTCATCTTCATCTACATCTACATCTACATCTGCAGTTGCAGTTGCATCTCTATCTGCATCTGCATCTGCATCTTCGGACCCATCGGATCGGATCCATCTTCACCCCTAGCTCCATCTTCTTCTTCTCTTTTTTTACATTCGCCCTTCGATTTGTAATGCGCACCTACCTCACATCTAGGATTCTTAAGCTACCAGCACGAGTATGCTTTTCCAAAAATCCGCACTTGGGTATGATTGCTTGATTCCTGCACTCGAGTCTTAAAGACCCCTGACAGTCAGTCTACGATTAAACGGACGAAGTTTTACTAAAAAAAACTGAGTATGAGTGACTAAAATGCAAAGGAACCATAATTTTTTCCGGAAAAATAAACAGGTCAGATAGAAAAATCGGACCAAAACACTGAAGTGTAATCAAGATTTCACCGCCACGAAGGTCAAATTTGTGATGTATCCAACCCTTCATCCAAAAGTGGCATGTTGCGAAAGTCATTATTCAAATTTTGAAATCAAGAAGTTGAATTTTAGTTGATTTGTGGGATTTCTCTTTTTTCAGATTTGGCAGGAATTGCGTAGTAGATAAGGACAAAAGAAATCAATGTAGATATTGTAGACTGAGAAAATGTTTTAAAGCTGGCATGAAAAAGGAAGGTAAGTTTTCAAGTTTTATTTTCCAACGGCTAATTTTTCAGACGGAAATGGTCCAACTTCACATTAAAAGCTTGATGGCAGCATCATTTTATAATGAAATTCCCTTATAGAGCCAATGATTACAATTTTGTAGGATTGCGGCATCAAAACTGGAATTTGGGTAAAAAATAAATTAAGGAGGAAGTGCAAGTCTTACATTGGAAACACTCCGACTCGCAACCATCTTGAATTTCAAATACTTGTAAGTACCTAAAAGCACCTACCCGGGAAAGTTTTCAGAAGATACTTCTTACAGGTAACTCAGACGGCCATCGACTCAAACTAAATTTTTACATTATCTCAACCCATTTCAAAATTTTTCGTGAGTGTATCTTATGGCTAATGACCATGTTCTCCTTCATCTCGCGGACAAGCAATTTCATCTTCCTAGGAGTCAAAATATTTGCATCACGTGTCTCGCGCCTCATTTAAATTCTACTCTGCGTTGAAAACTCTGAGTTAGCTGAAAGCAGGTCACATTCTCCCTCATTTCTTGGAAAAACAATTTTACCTCCGTGGAAGTGAAGTTGTATCACGCGTTTTGCCCCATCCGACTTTCCTACTCTGCGTTAAAGTCCCTAGATGGGAAAAAGAACAAGCTCTTTTCGAATGTTGGTTACAAGCTAGAAAGTTTTGTTGTTTCATAATTGTGACCGAATCTATGAAAAATGACCTCATTTTCCGAGGGAAAATTCCCAAAACTTTGAACCCTTGAGCGGAAAGCGCCTGCAAAACTGTAGGAATACTTCAAGCATTGCACCGTATCCCCGAGCGCGTGGGTACGCTGTTTGGAAATGCGCAGAGCAGCCAGCGAGTGTACACAATTCAGACGACCGAATTCGTTGGTTTGTGAACATTCTGCACTCCTGAAAAAGACCACCGTAGGTTGTTTTAAGTTTTTTTTTATTTCATTTTGTAGGTAAAACTCTTTTCAAATATTCATAGTGTCAAAAAACAACAATAGATCTTTTACGCTTTTTTTTCAATTTCTTTTTCTTAAACCTACTTCACCTTTTAATTTTACTTTCAAAATTCCATCTTTTCTAGTGCGCATATTTCAACGGTTTTCTTTGAAAAGAGTTTTTTTTTTTTTTGAGGGGGAGGGGATAAAATTCACAATTTTTTCAAAAATGTTTCTCAGGCACCTGCTGCTATTAGGGAAAGTATAAGTGATTTTATGTAGGTGTAACACACTACCTTCTTGTGAGAACCTAGAGCTAATAAAGTTTTTGTCGTTTTGGGAACAGCAGTTCAGAACGAGAGGGACCGGATAAGTTGTCGAAGGCCGAGCTACGAGGAGCAGTCAAACAACAATGGTCTCTCAGCCAATTCACTACTCAACGCTGAAATGCTCTCCCGGCAGAGTGGCGCCGCCCTTGAAGTAAGTCATTCCAGCAAAATCGCAAATTAGCAATATTTCAGTATTTTTTTTAAGGAATGGTCTAGATTGCCAAGATTGATAACAGTATTATTGTGAACATGTTTTTAAGCTTATCTGCTAATATATTGATGACAATATTAGCTCAAAAATATTCTAAAAATATTTGTACAAAATGTTCAACAATGCGTTAAAAATCAATGACTAAAGTCAAAAACAATGTATTCCTATTGCAACGTTTAAAATATGTTTTATTTTTTTGAAGAAAATTATGTATCCTTGAAATTTTTGGGAATATAATTGAATGAGAGAAAATTCAAAGGACATTTGAGGGGCTTGGCGGACAAGGCGCACAAAAGCAGTTGTTGCTATTTCGAGTAATACGTGTTTGAAGTTGCGAAATTACATGGATCCTAAGGGCAGAAAGAAAGTTCAAACTGACTTTTTGATGCTTAAAAACTGGAATTTGGGAGCGAATTTTTTACAAAATATGCAATAAGACTAGTTTCATTTGCGGTTATTAATATCTCAATTTTTTTAAAACATCTTTTCATTCGCAGGTCAACGACTATGACTTATCCAATAAGCGAATCGCCAACATAAACGACGTTTGCGATTCGATGAAACAGCAGCTCCTCTTCCTGGTTGAATGGGCCAAATACATCCCGGCTTTCACAGAACTCCCCCTTGACGACCAGGTAATGCTTTAATATTTCAGCCTCTAAAGGTCTGATCTTTTTGACGATTTGAGACAATTCAAAAAGTTACTACTTGAGTTTCTCGCTGTAACCTTTAATGCAAAAGCATTTTTAGAGTTTGTAATCGGTGATTTCAGACCAACAGCGAATAAAAAAAAGAGTCGACTTTGCTTTCCCTCCATTTAAAGCTCGTCTGAATAAATTCGGACGAAACCCATTGCTGCCAGTTTGTCAGAAATGCCATTATTTCAGACAGAACCAATGACTCCATCGTGTTGTACATGAATTTGTCCATGAGCTGAAAGGGCAAGTTCATCGTTGTTTTGGAACAGTTTCTTCCCCAAGTGAACCCCTACATAATTTAAATTTTGAGTAGGGCCAAGGAGATATATAATGTAGCATCATAACAAGGACAATTTTTACGCATTTTTTTGTCATAGTCAATGGTAACACTCTTGTAAGAGATCCTTGCGATGGATCTCAATGATTTGTCACTGCTAAATACACAAATGAATTTGTTTATGATTTTCAAAATTTTCTGAAATGAGCACGAGAGTTTACCTATTTTAAATTTTGCGAATCGACTGACTTAAAACGACTTGAGGACCTTTTTATGTCTTAAAATTAGTCGAAAATAATAGGTGCCCAAAAAAGTTCTCGTACGGAAAATTATAGTTTTATTTTCATCATACCGTAAGTAATGAATCGTGCATGAGCCGCTTTGCCTACACCTGATTTTGAAGGCGATTTATCCACTCGCTAAATGTTTTGGATTAAGAGGATGAGCCAAAATCTAGCTGCGTTATTCTGTTGCAGGTTGCGCTATTACGAGCGCATGCTGGAGAGCACTTACTTCTTGGCCTAGCCCGGCGATCCATGCACCTTAAGGACGTCCTGTTACTCGGCAATAATTGTGTCATCACGAGGTATTGCCCCGGTAAGTTACTAGTCCAATCACATGTCAAATTGAAAAATGACCTTAAATGTTGTTAGAGCCTTCAAAATATCCGCCCACGACCCTGTATCATAGAGTACATAGAGTCGTAATGTAAGTGTGAGAGCTGGCGCCACTTTTAAGCGATTTCCAGGTCCCAGACTTCTGTGCGGCGCCGTGTCACTTTTCCGATACATAATCGATTGTTTGCGATACACAGGGACCCGGACACGGAATTATTACGTATACCACACCGCCGTTTTGGATCGAATAAGTATCGAAAAAGTGACCCGCACATCGGGCTTGGAACTCGTCGAGCAGAACGTGGCGCCAGCTCTCCCATTTACATTACGACTCTATGTCCCTCATAGACCCTTTTAGTTTGTTACCCCCCTCCCCTGGTGATACAAACACCCGATTGTAAACTTTGATCATTGTAACAGGTTTGTAGCTCTGTTTAGTTGACAAATATACAAAAAAAAAAAGCTGCACTACTGAAGAACCAAAAAGTTTCATGTTTTTGGCGAAGAGCTCTTTTAGAGGGGCAAATAACACGCACAATAGAATATTTTCTATTGATCAAAAATTTCAAACTAATTTAGTTTTTTTGTTTTCTGGAATTCTGTGTTAATCAGAGTTGGCCACATTTCAAAACAATCTGTTCAATTTTAACAGAGATGAATTATTTATGAATTTTTCAGACTCACAGATCGCGCCAGACTTGGACATCAGCCGGATAGGTACCCGTGTCATGAATGAGATCGTCAAAGACCTCAACGAAGTCGGTATCGATGATACGGAGTTCGCCTGCCTCAAAGCAATCGTCTTCTTCGATCCAAGTGAGTATAATAACTCTCATCCTAATGAACGAACTTTATCGAAAAATGAGGGAAATCATCGATTAAAGGCATAAATACGGATACATACGTACAAAAATGTCGCTCCTACAACGCGCTCTAGTGTTCTGCGACATCCAAACGCCACACGTGCCCATCTTCTCAGAGGTTATCGGGCAACTGACAACGCAACATTTCTTCGTCCACGCCCTGCCGCCATCCCTTCAAAGGACGGCGGACCCTATCCGATGTTTTTTTTAAAAATCGTATAATTTATAAGCCAGTGGTGAATAAATATAGAAAATCATAAAATTCAAAAATAAAAGAACAAAGATTAGAGTGCTGATTATGTTGCCTATAATGTGAATAGACACTTTTACATCCTTAAAAACAAGGCAGAAATATACACACTCAGAAGAGCGTGCAGTGAACTCCGTGACATTAGTTGGGTATTGAGATCGGACAGGCAACTATACTAACATCGTGACAAAGCGTAGAGTATCACAAAAAATGAAGGCACTGAAAGCCGAGTTCATACTTTTGAAGATCATTACCTTTTGAAAAATTGCATTATGCCGATGCTATTTATTGAAACAACGTGTGAACCGCTTGCAAATCGCCGGCAATTGCTAATTGCCTGCGACATATCTATTATAATGGAGTTGTTGCATGTGTGAGGACTTTGCGATTTGACTGTTGATTCTTAAGTCAAAGTTCGCGAGAAACACGATGTGGCCACTGGTTTACTCTGAAATTAACTCCCAAGCTCAAAAAAGCTCTCAAATTGATGCCAACATGGAGGAATATCCCACGCTATCCTGAGAGTCCACCTCTTCATCAAGACGAACTCTCCATGCAAAGATAGGGAGCAAATACATTGACAGGGCTCCTACTCTATTTGGGGACTCCAAAACTGAAAACACGGCAACCCTGCTAATGTATTTGCTCCCTATCTTTGCATGGAGAGTTTGTCTTGATGTAGAGGTGGACTCTCAGGATAGCATGGGATATCCCCTCCATTATGGCCTCAACTTGAGAGCTTTTTTTGAGTTTCGGAGTTGATTTGAGAGAAAACCAGTGGCACCATCGTGTTTCTTGCGATCTTTTACATAGGGATCAGCAGTCAAATCGCAAATTCCTCACACATGCAACATCTCCATTGTCTTCGGCATGAAGTTATGTTACTTGGTTTTTTGCTGTGCAGAGGCAAAGGGGTTGAGTGATATGAACCGGATCGGAGCTTTGCAGCATCAGATCCAGATCAACCTGCAGAACTACATGAGCGACCGGCAGTACGACTCCCAAGGGCGCTTCGGGAAGCTCTTGCTCATGCTGCCGGCCCTCCAGTCCATCTCCTGGCAGATGATCGAGCAGATCCAGTTCGCCAAGCTCTTCGGCGTCGCCCACATCGACAGTCTCCTCCAGGAAATGCTCCTCGGAGGTAAGTCCTTTCCGCCCTTCCTCCGACGTCCATACTACGTCACCCTCCGACCAAAGTATCACAAGCGCCACTTGAGCTCCTGACTCCGTAAGATCAATGTTAAACGGGAAAATTGACCAGGGTTCACCAAAAAAAAGTGAAGTTGATATAATTCTGAATGTAAAACAAGAGTGCGAGAACTTAAGAAATGCTGAATTTCCCGCTACAGCAGTTACTTCAGCGATGCCAATCTGTAAAACTAACTGCGGGTTGATTATTGAAATTGATAGACAAAGCGATGGACAAAAAGGACACAGGGAGTATAAAGCGATCCTATTGGTTGAAATGTGTGGTTTCCATAGACTAAGGGAAAAAATGATGGACTAACTGTCGGATTTCTCGTGGGTTGTCTTTAGTTAGTCTATTACCTACTGCCTTCGTCCATTGCAACCACCCGCTTCCACCAATAGGATCCCTCCATACCCCTTTTGTCTTCTTTGTCTATAGCTTTGTTCATCAACTTCAATAATCGGCCCGCTGCTGTGGTGGGTAGTTCAGCATTTTATAAGTTCTCGCACAATTTTCACATACATTATAGCCGCTTATACAGCGCTCTTTAGCACTCTGCGACTCCCAGCCGCCAAAGTCCCCTATTCTTCCAGAGGCCTTCGTGGAGTTGGCACTCCCCCATTTCTTCTATAAAACCCCCCGTCGCCACCCTTTCAATGGGCGTCCGTTTCGTCCCCTTCGATTGTCGATGTTCGATGATACGTCTCGTCGATGTTAAATCAACTTCACTTCTTTTTCGGTGCCATTATAAACACAACAGAGACGAAAAATTTTAAATACATGTTCAGAATCACTTTTTCCATCTCGTTTAAATGAAATTTGAGGAGAAAAGTGAGGTTAAGAATCCGTTATTGCGCTAGTGATACCCTGTTCTGAGGCTCTATGGCGCTTGTGATATAAATGTCTTTTATTTCTTTAGCAAATTTAAAAAAAAAAAAAAAAAAAAAAAATCGGTCTCTTGTGATGCAGTAGTTGTAGCGCTGGTTCTTTCACCAGGAGGTCCCGGGTTCGATTCCCGCCTATAGGCGACCCGACTTCGATGGTCTCAAACAACGTTTGCAGCGGGTTGGTTGTATATTAGGGAGTGAGGGGGGTGGCGCTCTATCTGAAAGCGCAAGATTACCACTTGTGTGGTATTTGAAGTGGTTAAAAAAAAATAAAAATAAGATGAATCTTAAAAAGTTAAAAATTATAATTCTTACCAGCTGAATCGTTATTTTTAACCCAGAAAAATCCCGAACCCCATAAGTCTCTTTATTCATATTTGCCAACACAAGCGCTTGTGATAATTTGGCCAGTAGGTGACGACTAGAGTTTTTGGCTTATATGTAGATTAACTAATCGATTGATAAAATAGGTATCTTACATTTCGATTAATTATTCGATTTTTAAAATTTTGATAAACTGTTTAATCAGTTATTTACTACCAAAAAGCAAATACTTCCCACTCCATAGTTCGAAAAATCAATACAAACCTCCAAAAATTTCAGCTCAAAGCCCCAAAGTGCTGATATTTAATGGGAAAAGGGAGCCTCAGCACAAACGTTTATGTAAAGTTTTATACTGCATAATTCATTAATTATTCATTTTAATTTATTGTGTTTTTGTTGATTTCAACAAAATGATAAATATGGGTACTTCCTCTTAAACTCAAATATTTCATCCAAGGGCGTTAGGCAACAATTAAGTGCTTATACGCTTTAACGGCTTTCTTCCTTCCCACAACAAGATAAAAGATTCGCCACAAAGCATTCAGTAGAAACGAGCTTCCATGCAATTTTTAACAAAAGAAACTGGCGAATATTTGACTTAAACTGATGAATATTTTCCCATGATTTTTTCAACGTATTCCCTGACTAGCACATAATTATTATGAAAAAAACTACGCTATAAAAACGATTGGTAAATCGAAATACTTAAGCGAGTGTTGAGTGAGTAAATACACTTAAAGTAAAATTTAACAGGAGGTTTGCATCTTTGCAAAATGAGATTTCTCTCACCTACTTTTATCATTAGTACCTATGGACTGCACACAGAATATTCCCATACCATGATCAATGATCCTATACGCATCCATTATTACGAGCACACATCATACACCCTAAAGAAGCAGTGTGATGGAAATTTTTCTACAATGTTGCTTTTTCTAAATAAATTCAAGACAATACAAGCTTCCGCTAAAATCACGTTTAATCCGTTTAGCAGCTGGAAGTACGTTAATTGTTCCTCTGAACCGAATATTTATGATCAGATACGCTTATAATGGAGTAATAATTTAGTCTCGTCCCTATAAGAATGTCATCTACCGGAGAGAATGTCAGTACCGGTGACAGATAATTTTTCAATTTCTGTTCCTGAAGAAAGCAATACTTCTTGCGTCGATCCATAAATCCGGCTGGTTCAAAATACTCGAACTAATTTAATTTCGGACATGAGATCTAAGAAGTACAGTTGCAATAAATTGAGATTACTTGGTGAAGTTATTGCCACCGCATCAGAGAGTTGTGCATGGTGCGGTGCCTATCAATTAATTTAAACGGCTCTTCGAACTAAAATACGTTGTGATAAAATTGAAATGATTGCAATCTTCCTTTGTATCGCAAACTGCATATCATTCGTCGGATCGTTCAAAATCGGCATTTATCAACCAAATGACGTGAGAAAATTGCAATTTTACGGTAAAAAATTGGAAATTTATTTCAATATTTTAGCCGCAAAGTGATATTTGGGGACGATCTACTAAACCTCATAGATTTGGCAAGAGCTCCAATTTGTTTATTTCCCTTTTTCTCGATTTCATGAGACATGAGCAATATTTGTTGAACCCTGTTATGCCTCCGATTTTGCTTGTAGACTCTTGGCTGGGAACGACAGACGCTCTTAAGATGGTCCTATGCACTAGTAAAATATATGCGAATGAATGGAAATTATCAGAAAGTTGAGTCAGTCGAATCAAGCTGTGAGAAGACCTTGTAGTAGGTATGTGCATTCAGGAATTTTGACCTAGTCATGGATTCATTCAGCTTTATTCATATTTATTCTTCACGAAAGCTTGAGATGGTTTGTGACTAAGGAAGCCCAAGGCTTCGTTTTTTCAGACTTTAAACCATAACATGGGACATACATGGCACCTAGTCTTTGTTATAGGAGATATTTTAAATAGAGGTTAGAGTACCTTTACAGTTAGAGTACCTGGCACCTCATGAAGGTACTTGGGACTCAAAAATGACCGGAGGTACAAGTATGATGTAGATTTAAGTTACTTTAAATTCGATATTCGAGCATGAAGCACCGTGAATTTTACTTATTGTTAGATTAAATAATAAGGATTATCTCCATAATTTCAAAAAAATAAAATAAAAAAAAAAAATTATTCGGTATGACTAGTGACTAACTTAACTAGTGTCACAGGCATACATTATTCAAAGTTGGCGAGATCCTTTTCCTCATTTATACAAATTCGTCGTCGTTTTTGAGTTCCAAATTTCATTCATGAAAGAAGGACAGGGTAGAGACATTAGCATGCTTTCTCTATGAGGGTATCCTAACTGAGGCACGCTCCTACATTAATTTATAAAATTCTTCTTGTGAACCTCCTGGGAATTTTTCAAGATTCAATGATGTACATGATAAAATTTAAAGTATTTTAGTGTCATATCATCTACAATATTCTAAATTTTTTCTATTGACAAAAAAAAAAAAAAAAAAAAAAAAAAAAAAAACTAGGTAATTTAAACTTCCTTCATTCGCCGCCTCCTCAAGAAAGTTATGTTTAAAATTCTGATCGGCTTTCTTTGCTCCTAAGGAGTAACTCGCAGCCCAAGAGGATTTAACACAAGAGCTCCCAAGGAGTAACTTAGCCCAAGAGGATTTAACCCAGAAATGTACGACATTTTTGAATCCGAGATAACTTACCCTAGAGTGAAGCTATACATGCAGTATTGATTCATTGCCGTCAATTTCTCACTAAATACATCCACGCATGGATTGAAATTGCATGTATTGCATGAAAATGTACGCATGAAATTGGATTTTGGAATTTTGTTTACAAAATATGATCATAATTTCCGCTCCGGACAACAAAATGTAATGATAAACTCCTTGCTAATTGATTAGGTAGAATTTTATATTCATTTTTAGAGAGACCATTTTTATGAGAAATTTCTGATTGTATTGAGATATGGCATTTAATTTATGAGGTAGAAAGTATACATTTTGTAAAAAAAATGCACAGGCTGCAAAATTTGTTTAGGTGACATGGTTCTCTATAAATTCACACAGACATTTAGAAGAAATCTACTGCCGGTCGCCGCACACGCGACGTTTTCCCCCAAATATTAGGTCTCTTTCTCTTCAGTGTAGCCCATGATTTCCGCTCTCTCAATTTCCCTGCCAAAAGATTGACTTACTTTCCCGCGTTCACATCCGATGGACGTAGTTCACACTCTGCACAGAGCCCTAGCCAATGAGCGACGGGCGCGGGAAAATAATTCGCTCTTCCAAAGACTAAACGCGACAACCCTATGGAAAGCTCTACGTGTGAAGTGCGCTGCAGAGCAGGCAGTTCTAAACTATCCTGTCGTCTTATCGAAGAAAGCAGATTTGCAACTACATTTTCAAAATCTAGTTTTTTTTTAACTCCTATAAATCTGGTGTAAGTGCGCTGAACGTCTTCGCTGCAGCAGCAAAATTGGCATTATGTATTCAAAAAAAAAAAAAAAAAGAAAGAAAGAAAACAAAAGAAAAGAAAAGAAAAAGGAGAAAATTAAGCAACGTGAAATGCACTCAAACTCTTCATTTCTAAGTTACTGTTACTGTCGGTAACATAGTCGTGCTCAGGAAAAACATTGTATGAGCCTCTCAGGGGTCACAAAATATCCTTTGATAAAATAAAACTTTATTAGGAAAGTTCAGAATATTTTTCCTAGATTTTTCAAACAGTTTCATTCCTTTTTTCATCCAAAATATCTAAAAATTTCATAGGAACAATATGCATTACTCCTTCTTAAATTAATGTTATACTCAGGGGAATTTTGGCATCATTCGAATGTTTATACGGCCTTTTTCCTCAGCACGGCAGTATCGCACATTAGCCTCCTCCCCATACTTTCAATGTATAATTAGACCAAATTTTGCAACAAAGAGCCACTATTTTTGGCTCATTTTAGAAAAAAAAATACACGTATAATGGTTTCCTTATGCAGAAAGGTGCTTTTATATAAGAGCAAGTGCTAGTGGTTCCTTATTTTTCTGGAAAGTTGTTCAGCCGCAGATTGCATCTACACATATAATGATGAATGATAAAAAGGTGAGCCAAATATGCATATTTTTCAATTTGAAAATGTTTCAAATTTTCGATATTTTTTCATTTATGCGTATTTTACAATTTGAAAAATTTTCAATATTTTTCAAATTGAAAAACATACATCTTTGGCTTAGCTTTTTATCATTTGTTGGTTCCTTATTACACTGGGAAAAAAACACATTGGATAGCGTCCAGACTCTTAAAAACATCGACAAGAAGAAGTACTCTTGATTCAATCAGAATCTAGCTTAAATCAAGAACCAAGCCTCTTAATTTAAGCGGATTTCGTTTTGATTCAAGCAAAAATCCGATTGAATCAAGAGTATTTTTTCTTGTCAATGTTTTCAAGAGTCTGGACTCTAGATCCAATGTGTTTTTTTTCCAGTGTGCAAAATGTAATTTTGGTCATGAATTATTTATAGTTCCCCAGAATTTCGATTAGTGTGATTGAAACCGGGTCATGTTGACTGTTGCAGGTGCGATGATAGACACCTCGAGTAGCGGCGGGGGAGNGGCGCGGGGGCGGGGGCGCAGGGTAGCCAGGGGGACGGGCAGGGGGCCAGCAACGGAGGCGGCATGAACGGGCACAGCCACGCTCACGAGAACTACCCCAGTTCCGGCTCTGGTTCCGGCTCCTCGGACAGCGAGTACGGCCGCCTCACCAGCTCACCTCAATAGACCATGGACCAATCAACCGAGGACCACCAGGTCCACCCGAGGATCAACTCCGGACCACGTCACTACCAACCCCCACCACCCACACCTATAGTCGCAGGAATTCCAAGAGTAAATAGTTACCACAACCAATACCACTGCCACAAAGAAATGTTTTAAAATCTTCCTCAGAATTTTCTGCACTGGAAAAAAAAACACATTGGATCTAGAGTCTAGACTCTTGAAAACATTGACAAGAAAAAATACTCTTGATTCAATCGGATTTTTGCTTGAATCAAAACGAAATCCGCTTAAATTATAAGAGGCTTGGTTCTTGATTTAAGCAAGATTCTGATTGAATCAAGAGTACTTTTTCTTGTCGATGTTTTTAAGATCCAATTCCACTTTAGATCCAATGTGTTTTTTTTTCCAGTGTGGGACCTGAAAAGTGTAAGTTTCCCGAGAACTGAACTGAACTGTTTTGAGATCGACAGACACAGGGATAGAAAAAGGATATAAAGAGAAAACAAAAGGATCTTATTGGTGGAACCGATTGCTCTAACCGATAAGGGTCGTTCCAATTTCCCGCCATCTTCTCTGTATATCTTTCTATTTATCAATCTTAATAATCAGCTCTCTGGAGAGTCGCAGGTCGAAATTTCAACATCTCAAAGACTCTTGTGCATGCAGTGTACCCAGGCCCCGCTGATCAGTTTTGGGACGGGTCTGTATTTATGACCGCTTAAATTTGGCATCAATGCCACAAAAATACTAGTACGTACCCATGAGTACGTACAAAAATCCCTCTCTGAATGTTAGTGATTGGACAGAAAATAGTTTTGTAAACTATCTCCTTTGGACTTATCCTGACTGTAATAACTAGCCATTTTTGCGCTGCTCATTCATACCCCCAGAGACTCAAACGCACAGTTAGAAAAGTGGCGATATACGATAGTCATTCCTAAAACACCGTACTGTTGAATTGGACCTTCCTTGTTTAGTGCGAAAGCAGCAGTCAGAATCTACTCCAAAGCGTGCCAGTCCGTTATTCGTGTTTCGATCTACTAATCGTTCATTTCCTCAACTTTTTGACAGCATTTGTTTCCTCAGGAGAGAGTGGGATATTAGGTATATCCTGGCTCGCTAACTTTGATGTACTTACTTCCAAGGTAGAATTTTTTTCATTGCCCATTTTTGTTTTGTTTGATTGTTTTTTAATTTGACCTTTTTATTTGTTGGTTTTTATTAATTTGAAAAGTCAATGTTTGCTATTGTCAGTTTGTCATGTTTTGTCTTTACCAAAGCACTCTATCTATTTATTAAGTATGGAATTACCCGAGAAAATAATTCAAACCTGTAAATCATCTACTTACAGAAGTTTTTAGAGAATCTAGGAGGAAAGAGAGCAGATCGAGACCTTGGTAGAGCCTGAGAACGATTTACGAGATATTTTGCCCTCGATTCATTTGGAAACCATAAACCGAACCCATCGTGAATCGATATATTCATGTCTCCCCATTGTATTGGGGATGTACTCTTCTTAGTTGATAATTTTGATTTTGTGCGTGGGGTGGATCCCTCCCCCCTTACTTCAAGGAATAATGACAAAGAGTCGGAATTTTTAACGTCCTGTTTCTTCTTTAGTTCTTGGAGTTATTTATCACAGAATGATTGTTTATTTTTCATTTATTGGTGAACGTTATTTAACTTTTTTTCCAAAAAGAGAATACGAAGAATCCAAAGGCTTATTTATTTGTATATTTTGGTGTCCCGTCACTTTTTATTGTTTTCCATTCATTTTATTTGGATTTGAACCTGTTGTTTCATCATAAATCCTCTTTTATAATCCAGACTGTGTGGAACATATCGAGACATTTTCTAAAACCTGTACTTAGGAATCTACATACGATATACTTATGCTGACTATAGGATTAAAATTCTAGCAGACAGTAAGTGTATGAAAAGAAATAAAGGCAACTCGTGAGACAGTGGTGCATTTTTCCAAATTTTATGAAGGAATTCATAAAAAAATAAAATAGAAAATGACCACAACACATTAGGTACCGATACTCTTACCTATGCTGATCATTGTTTTATAAAATGAAAAAATCAAAAAACATGTTCGTTTGTAATTTTTTATAGAAATTAAGCTATGTTTGCAATCGGGGTAAGTAAGGGATGTTCCGATTTTCTACTGACTGTGGAGAAACGTTCATTTAGGTCATTGTTTTCAGTCCATGGCATGAAACTCAATTTCATGGTAGAAAATTAATGAGTATCAAAGGCCTAAAATAAGTACATACTACCCAAACTAGACTGAAGGAATTCAACGTTCTCACAACCTCTGTTCACATAATGTAAAAAGCTCTAAACTTAAAAAAAGTACTTAATTTAAGTTAGATAATTTGCGAATTCAAGGAACTTTTTGACCTGTTATAATTTTAAAGAGCCGTTTACTTTTCTAAGATTTTTATTTTTTATTATAAGGTTTATCTCATAAACGTATGTTATGTACTTAAAATATACTTAAATCTGTTCACATGCTCCGTTTGCTTTTTTCCCTCTTAGATCCTTAGCCGAAGCGTCTCCAGTTTATCATGAAGTGCTTTGGTAGCAAGGAAACGAATACCTTGAAAGAAAGGAATAAAATTTTGCGTACTTACTTGCGCTATTTAAATACGAATGGACCTATATTTTGCGAAGTAGAATAATGTTAGTAGAGCAATGGATAAAAAAATACTTGCATGAAGAGCATACCTTGAGTCCAATGGATCCAAGTCTGATAGGTTAGTATGAAAGAACACATGAAAATAACAATTTTTACATTTAATTATTCGTCGACCAAAAAAAAAAAAAAAAAAAAAAAAAAAAAAAAAAAAAAAAAAAAAAAAAAAAATGGTGAGTAACACCTAAAGCCTTTTTTCCGTCATTCTGTTGACATGACCATACCTGACAAATGTTTCCTAAATATTTTCCTATCAAAAAATCAGAGTCGAAAAAAGTAATTTCAACTAAAAAATATATTTTTAAAACTCTCCTTACATCGAGTCTTTTGGAGACTATTAAACTTTAAACTTCTTTTTCTAGGCTCTAACTTGATGCGACTTGAAGCGTTCCTGTTAAGTGGCGAGGCGTGAATGATCTATTATCGATATTTCCCCATTTGAAACTATGATAAAGAATCGATTATTAAGATGTTCGTTGCGGACATCCTTTTAATCGATCCTTTTCTATAGGTTTAGATGACCGCTCAATCGATATATCGCAAAGCAAGCTACGCCACTGTTTCCGTTAAACTTGGTTCGAAATTATTTACGCTTGAATATCGCAATGATGATACCATATTAAGGGATGAGAGCCGGAGGGGCTTAATTGTATCCAACGTTGCCAGGTTTTATATGACAAGTTATTTCTTCATTTACTAAAGAGTGTATATGTTTCACATCGAAAATTTCAGAGAATATTTATTAGATCGCAAAGAAAATGTCAACAAACAATTCGCAATCGTCCCCAAGTTAATCAATAGGTAAATTGTTAAATGAAACTTCGCAACGCTGTAATGCAATTTATCCCCTCTGGCTTTCCTCGCTTCATGTACCCATTATCTTCACCAAAAATATTCTGCAAATAATTTGCAACGCGGCAACAGAGGGAGGAATTGTACTTTCGAACCCACCCTCTTCATTGCCGGTAGGGATGACTCTCTCCCGGCTGTCGGGAGCTAATAAACAACCCTTAATCAAAACGGAGATGGACTTTGTGACTCTTGTTGTCCTTGCTTCTGATACTTCATGCTGACTTGATAAAGTGAAATAAATGAACATGACATGTTCATAAATGTCTATCTACTCGTGCAAATGCAACAGGTGTGGAACAAAAATACCCATGACAAATGTTTAGTAGAGATATAAGCCCGAGTTGAATGATTATATGGACAACGTTTTGCAATTAGGAACTATAATTTCTGGCTCAGTTTAGAAACAACGTATGTACCATCAGTTTCCTTATGCACATACGTGTTTTTACAGATAAGCTAGAAATTATAGTTCCGAATTGCAAAATGTAGTCCATATAAAACCATATATGTCCATATATGTTGTCTATAGAAACCATGCATTTCAACCAATAGGATCGCTCCATACTCCCTATGTCTATTGTCTATCGCTTTGTCTATCTATTTCAATAATCAGCCCACAGAAGGTGCTCCCCCTTGCAATATTATGAGTATTGATTGAGACATCTCTATCTCTCGCCACCTCACAGGAGCCTCGCATACAATCTTGATCTCGTTATCATATCATACCCGGTTACGGACACCCATAGCGCATAGCCATTATCAGGTACGCGAAATGGCAGTTAATTCCTTATATTGACAAAATTCCGTATCTTTACTCCGAGTCGAGGCTGTCAAGAGGATCACGGAATCATGCGGAATGACACAAGTCAATGCTCCAAAACGATAGTGTAAACAACGAACACGACGTAGTCCATCCATGTGCCTGTCCACGCCTAATAAAGTGATTTCAGTGGTTTTCGAATCCCGTCAAGTGTGCTCATCCCGAATTTCCCTTGGATATATTTTTCCGGTTTAATTGACGCAGGGTGTGAATTCTCGCTTTTCCGGGCTACGTCGTAGGGTATCTTTTCGATAGGCCTTTCCCGTTGTGTCAATGTGCGAGGCTTCTGTTATTGCTGAGGGCCGCGAATATCCCACCCCACGCGGGCTTCAACCCCCCGCAACACGCCTTAATATTAAGGGTAGTTTTCGAGCGAGATAATCGCACGCCCTAAAAATTTCGAGACTAAGTGCCACACTCGTCACGAGTAGTTTTCTATCTGCCGTATTAAATGTAAAGCTTTAAACAGTGATTATTCACATGAGGTTTTTTCGGTTTTCTGAAATGTTTACAGTTAAAGACTATGAATGCAACGAAATGACGTCATAAAGTTGTGTCATTCAAGCTGAAACATGAGGTAGGAATCAAATGAGGCTCGTTTTTGGTTAAGGTAGGATTGGAAGTGTGTTAAAGTTTGTTTGAATCGTTTTTCCTTTTGAGACTTGGATCATTTTTGACCAGAAAAAATAGGTTATTTCATCGATTTCGACTCTTTATATAGGGTCTAGTTGAAGGAATGAAGGGAATAAAATGGCACGGTGCGGTTGCGAAGTTTTACCTTGCAGCTTATTTTTCTATACGTTGATGGATGCATGCTTTTTTCTGAAAATCTAAGGGAATCCCTGGTAAAAATTGGCAATAAGAGCTGCGTTTCAAAATACCATAGAAATTCTTTTAGCTGGCTATAGAAGACGATAGAAAATCGTGTAGCTGGCTGTGAAAGCGAAGAAAATATATCGTACAGCCGGGCTATACGAAGCAATGAAAAATTATGCAGGCGGGCTATTTTTAGTATCTATCGCAGGGCTATACCGTATGTCAACTGGCTGTAGCTTTATCGCCATCGGCAATAAAAGGCTACAAGGAATTATTGCGTAGCCGGCTGTAGAAGCTATAGGAAATCTTACAGCCGGCTATAGGTCTGTAGTACCTATTTTGAAACACAGATCCTACTGCCAATTTTTACCAGGGACTCCCTAATAAAACAAATATATTATTCCAAACGACTTTTAAAAGAAAATTAGCTACCGTTCCTTAAGAAATACATTTTTAAAAAGGAATTTTCAACGTTGCAAATCAGGCATAACATCCTCCACCTCTAGCCCCTCCAAAAATTGTCCCTATTTTTGTCGGTTTTTCAAGTTCATATTTCAGGAGTCATTTCTACTTGAATTTCAAGTGAATATTCGTCCATTAAAGTTAGGCAAAAGGTTGGTCAAAACTTTACAGTATGATGTAAAAGGGGTAAGAATTTTTAAAGTTTTTCAGATTGACGAAGATTGAGAGACAGAGGAGGAATTATCCGAAAATTAGATGTACCCTGGAAAAAAAGTAGCTTGGATCTAGAGTCTAGACTTTTAATAACACTGAGGAGAAAAAATACTCTTGATTCAAGCCGATATTTCCTTGAATCGAAGAGCCAAGCCTCTTGATTTCGGCAGATTTCCTTTTGATTCAAGCAAAAAGTCCGATTGAAATTTTTTCTTGTCAATGTTAGTAAGAGTCTGGACTCTAGATCCAAGCTACTTTTTTTCTAGTGCACTCTAATCTCTCACGTCTCTTGGATTTTTTCAGTTGATAAATGACCAGCTAACCCCCCCCCCCCCCCCCAGTTGCAATAGTCTTAACGTATAGTCCATCTACTAACCAAAATGGTGGGTGGAGTTTTACAAAACTGGATTTACATATCCAGAGCAGTGGCGTGGCGTGAATTGCGATGTTTCGATTGTTATGCCATTTAAACCTATGGTAAAGAATCGATTATTAAGGTGTTCGCTGCGAATACCCTGTCTATCGATCCTTTTCCATAGGTTTAAATGACAGAACAATCGATATATCGCAAAGCTCGCCACGCCACTGACAGAGTGAAGCCAATTTCACCCCCTTAAGAAACGCTTTCTTTTACCTCTATAAAAGACTGGATACGATTGTCTTTTTGCAGCACATAAAACTCACCAAAGAAAAATAAGTTACCAAAGGAAGCTAGAAATTAGACTCTGGAAGCACGTTTTTTGGACGGAAGTTCAGGATTGAGTGGTTCAGTATGAAGGAGGAGGCATACGATGAGGATTACAATGCCGAGTTCTACATTTTTCCGGCCGATCTGTATGACGTCAACGCCGATTTTGACCTCCGGGCCTCAGCTCCCGACTTTGCCGCCGATTTTTTCGATACGCCACCGCAGTACTTTCCAACCGAAAATTATGGTGAGTTCTTCTAGTTCCTCTGAATTCGTCCAAGTGTCACTCTAAGTTCCTCCTTGCGCTAATTTTTAATTTGTATGTATTAGTTGATTTTACAGCGCACTAAGGCGGCTCTGCGGCGCCTAACCGCGGTATGAGTCTTTCCCCAAGTAGCAGAGGTTGCAACAACTTGCAACAAAATCGTTTGATTCTTGCAACTAATAGATTGATGTGCAGATTGCCTACTCTCTCCCCCGAAGGAGCTATCATTGTCGGAACTAGTTGCAATTAAGTTGAAGCATGTTTCAACTTCAAAGTATTGCTGGTTGCCTATCTTTAGATTTTAAACAACTTTGGTGCAGCAATTTTGCAATCTCAGCAGGTTGTAACTTTGTCTTCCGATCAGATCGCCGAAAATCGGCACTTATCGACCAAAAGTTGACCGAAAGTTGCAACTTTGTTGTAACTAATACCAACATTGTTTCAACTTTTTGCAACTTTTACAATGAAAAATGCTACTTGGGTCATGGTATTTCCGGAGGATCTCTTCTTCCGGAATAGCTAGACGTCTTATCCGACGTCCACCACTCCAAAACCTTTTTCGGCAACCTTTCATCGGCAATCCTCATGCTCATGGCCATACCATACTAACCGTATGATCATGCTATTGCGCACAATACCAATACCAGTGAGGCAGTGCCAATTTTTAATATCAGTAAAATATCAGTCGGGTGTTTCCAAGAAGCAGTGATCGCGATAAGTTGCGATTTGATCGAAGAATGTATCAGTTTATCGACATCGATTTATTGTAATATTGTTGGATAAAACATTGCGATAAATTGCGATTTCATCACATAACCTTGCAATAAAATCGCAATTTCATCGACGGCTACCTATTGTCGCAATATTATCGAAAAAAAATCGTGCTAAATTGAAATAAATTTTCGGTTTTATCGAATGGGATTTTATTCAGACAACATTGCGACAAGATCGAGGACAATTGCTCAGATGTTGATGATCCTAGCGATTTTATCTTCGAAAATTCGCAACTTACTTTCAAATTATCGCGATTTTTCCGTTAAAAAATGCCACTTGAGATTCCAGGGAAAGTCGAACAACCGAAGATTATTGGGGACCCCAATCATACTCGAAGATTGTAAGCTATCACCAGGATATTCGCAGGGGAATTCTTTGTATAGATAAGGGTGGCGCCACACTTAAGGAGCCCTCCGTCTGTATTCCGATCAACTCTTAAGATTGAATAACGAACACCTACCCCTTCCCAATCTCTTCATCCCTCCCACCACGGTTGCTCATCAAAGTGAGTCTCACAGAGGGATGCAAATCTAATCTCCGTTTAGTCTCATCTCGCATTGCTTGTGTCGCGATTGTACAAGTGCAGGATTACTCACCTGGATTTCATGAGTGTTTTTCACCTTCCAACCTGTTTTCAGACTTAAGTAATTGGTGTTTTATTACGTCTCGTTGGTTAGAAACAGTGCGTTTTGATTCTTTATTTTTCGTGCCAGAATGAATTGTTTCCTCTAAGATTTGTGGAAGTGCGCGGGTATGCTATACACAGACATGTTTTTTGAGAAGGTGGAAATTTTTGATTTAGAAAATGATGTGATCATCGAAACTGATGACATTCTTGGTGAGTCTCATAATAAAAATAATTTATTAAACCGTAGGTAGCCCAATCGGCACAGGTTGTATTAACTTTGCAACGTGGTGAATTTATTGGCACGCATCGGAATGTTGTGTATGTTGCCTATTTACTAATTGAAGGGGCTATTGTAATTGAAATTGCGATGAAATTAAAATTATATGCAATTTATCTTTGCATCTTACCCCAATAATTTTTACACATATAACTCATTCTATTGATCTTTTAAATGCCTTTTTTTTACCAAATTATGTAAAAATATTGAAAATGTCACGGTAAACCATTTGCCATTTTAACGCAACTTTATTTTCATAGTTTCACTGTATTGAGCTACTCGGGAAACGAGATCAGATTTTTTCCAACGTGATTGCGTCATAATTTATTTTTTATAAAATATCAAGACATTCTGAAGGTGTTTTGTAATAAAAATGAGTGCTATTGTGAAATCAGTTTCGTGCATGTGAACTTTTTTTTCACCAAAATGAAAAAGAAAGGTTTAGTTATAGTATCAAAACCTTCAAAAGGCATAAATATAAGTTAGATGAGAAACAAAATCCCCTTAAGAGTAGATTTTAGCCTTTTGAATTTTCTTGTTTACAAATCCATGTACTATATCACGTCAGAATTTCGGACATGGCCGCGTACACATTTCCCGTTCAAATTCTGTCACTATTACAATTTCGCATTCTTGGAAATGAATTTTGTACCACACAACTATAATCTGCTTGTCCAATGGTAAACTTCTCTTCTCCAATAAGATTGCAAATAAATGTATTTCTGTTCACCATTTGTTGATTAATTTTTAAATACTCTGGGGAGCCCGTCATTGTGATGTATAATTCCTCTCTCCAGACCTCCATGCTTAGAAAATGTGCATAAACGACTAAACTCAGGAAACATGCATCTTAAAGTAAGACGTTGAAAATTGCTCTCGGTGTTTTATTTTTTAAAAGAAAAAAATCTTTGTTATTTTATGAAATTTTCTTTGATTTTTCTCTCCGGTCTCTATTTGGGTTTAATTTTGGACTTGACATGAGTCTGCAGGCCGATTTTGGCAAAGAATGAGGTTTTTTTGGCATTTGGCTACAATCTCGCAAAAATCGTAGTTTTCACCAAAATCCGCCTTGGGACGCAGGGCAGGTTTAGGCCAAAATCAAACCCAAAAAGGCTGGCCCCAATGACCAAACCATGATGAGAAAAATCGTAGAGATGAGGAAATTCAGAATGGTACCAAAAACGGCCCTTATCTATATCTCTCACATATCGACGGTGAAACTACCACGGCGCGTATCTTGGTTAGCGACGTTGTAGATTTCCTATTATACTTTATTTTTTAAATGGAAAACTCGACGTCAATTCTTGAAAACTTCCGTGTTTTCCCCTCTCTCCGCGAAGAGAACTCAGTGAAAATTATTTCAATAAATGACATTGAATTGTTTTCCTTCCTAAAAATGAAACGGGAGCGGAGATTTTTAAACACCGCAAACGAGATACGTGGTCTGGTAGTTTCACCGTCGATATATACTGTCGTGCGAAGGAAGAACATCGTATGAACATTCGAGGGTTGGCAAATTTCCCTCGATAAAACGTGTGTTTTTGACAACATTCACGCATATTTTTCCTTGAAACTTCCGGATATTTTAAATTAAATTGTGTACAAACAAACCAAAATAATATTCAGGATTTTCCTAGTAATTTCGCTTTTTATCGGAGGAGACTTGGCAACGTCTGAGGGCTCAAACGGCGCCGCCTTCTTCCTTAGCACGCCAGTATAGTATACATGCTTTATTATAGCTCCTTTTCGATAGTGCTTCCATGTATCGTTTGCTTCAAAACAATAGAACGTAACCTCAAACAAAACTTTCAGGATTTCAGTCGGAAAAGCTGAAAATGAGAAAATTCCTAACTATTTCACCTTGCGATGCCATTTAGTACCCATAAGAATCGAAAATCTATCAGAAAAACCCCGTTTCCTCAAATTACTCGATTGACTTTTGAGGCTATGTTTACATGTCGAACCAATCGATATCGATACAATCTCACCCATTTGATGTACCGAAAACGATCTATTGAGAAAATTCTACGTGCTCGACTGGATGGTTGATTGGATGTTTTCTCTCAGGACAAGTGACAACAGACGAGTCTGGAAGCTCTGACGCCTCGTCGACTCGGACGACGACTCCACCGCTCCCAGCGGCCCTGCCGTTGACGTTGACCACGACTGAAGAAGGGGCGGCGGCAGACGCGGGGCTGAGCCCTTTTTGTGCCGTGTGCGGGGACAAGTCCACCGGGAAACACTACGGTGCCCCTTGCTGCGATGGCTGCAAAGGATTTTTCCGCCGTTCCATCCGTAAGGACTACAATTACGCCTGCAGGTAAGTACTGATCTCGTCAGGCAATGCACCACCAACGGGCTTCTTCCTGAAATCGATAGACAAAGCTACAGACAAAGAAGACATAGAGAGGATGGAGTGATCCTATTGGTTAGAAATGGTTTCCTCCTACACTGGAAAAAAAAGAATCTTAAATTTGCCGCCAAGAAGTATTTCTTCTTAGATTAAGAATTTTTCTGGTTAATATAAGCTACTTTTTTGCTTAACCCAAGCATTATTTTTTTTGTGCCAAGAAAAAGTCAGCTTAAAGCGAGGAAAAAAAATTCTCGGCGGCAAATTCAAGAATCATCATGCTTGATCCAAGCTACTTTTTTTCAGTGTATAGACTAAGGGCATAGAGAAAAAAAGTAGGTGTTTGTATTTCGGGCATCTTGGAATTTTTTTTGCAAATATTAGCATATTATATAGCAAATATAGCATAAGCAAATATTTCGCCGTAAAAAACTTGAATAGATGATATGATACCATTGATTCTGTCCGTAGTAATTCTACATTAGCCATGATATCTCCCATTTGGGCTCACTACTGCACGATTCACGAATTGCCACCGATCGTCTCACGTGCCACGTGCGCGTTATTCATGTGTGCATCGAACGTGTTCTTCAAAGAGCAGTAGTTTTAGACATTTGACATTTATATAATTTTCCAATAATCTGTGTGTCATAATTAATTGTTCAAACACAATTTCGTGATTCGCACAATAATCAAGTGAGCCCTCCACAGCAAATTTGATCAAACAAATGAGTAAATATTAATAAACGTCATCAGTACTATGTTACACCAAGTATCGAATAGTTATGCAAGAAGTATAGATTTATTCTAATAAAAAGGCTGCTTGTTTAACCCTTTGTTGCATGAGCTACTCGTTGATTTTGGAGGGAAAATCCACATTGTACAGTATTTTTTCGACATTACAGTCGGTTAGAATCGATTTTTATGGGTTTTTTTTAAAGAATAGAGATCAGACTTAAAATGTTCCTCAAAACTCATTTCTTGCTTCGATTCAGTTTTTTTCTCCAGCACAGAAATAAAGCTGAAAACCATTTGTTGCTTTCATGCAACGCTATGCAATAAAGGGTTAATTAAATCCAGTTTGATAAAATTGTTAATGTCGATCCCGACTATATCAAATTGTTTTCAAACAGGTAGATAATTAACCTCTTCTAATTCTATCGGTAAAAACAAATCAAACGTTCGATATTTGGCGTGACTTAGTACTAATAGCGTCTATTGTAGGTAGATACCAAGCCGATAGCTTTGAAATGAGCACCATGTAATCCTTCATAATTTTGCAGGTTTGACCGACAATGTGTTGTCGATGTGAGCCAGCGAAATCGGTGCAGATTTTGTCGGCTCAAGAAGTGCCTCAAAGTCGGTATGAACAAAGACGGTAAGTTATCGATGAAATCAAACAATTTATTGCATCGCTCAGTCATCAAATACAAAAAAAAAGAGATAACATTTCTATCACCTCGAGTTCGCCTTCATTTGGACGCGTATGCAACGCACGTTCCTAGGAGTTAAAATGGTGATATCAACATTCAAGTCGCTACTGAAGTATCTCAACCGCACAACCGCGGACCTCACGGATGGTTTATTACGATTTGTTTCTGTTAGAAACACTGGAGCATTGTCCTAACTTTAACGAAAAAGGTTTAAGGATACATCGTAGCATCTAAGATGTTAGTGCCATTGTACAAAATGCACAAAAACTATTTGGAGAGTTATAGGTACCTACATTTATTTTTCTGTTTTGAAGACAAGCGGTGCTAATCGAAGTCATTGATTAGGGGCTAACCATCGCTCCTTTTGCCTCTTATTCCAGTTGGACCAAGGGTTAATATTTTTTGTACCAAAATCTTTCATCGCAGCCAAAAATTTCACTTGAACTTTGATATGATCTTTCGTATTTAGAAGCCTTAAAATTAGAGAGAGTATGGACGCTGAGTTACATAATTCGCCTATCGCGGAGATCAGTGGAAACCTTCGTCGGAATTCCGATGACGATTTCCGCTGCATTCCATTCTCGTCGGTTTTTGCACGATTCCACTCCGGTTTCACGAAAAGATTTTAGCAAAATCAAGTCGGCAGTATTTCCCCTGCATTTTCTATCTCAATTTTCTTCTTGCAGCGGTTCAGAACGAGAGAGACCGAATTACACGGAGATCCATGCGAACGGAAGAACTTGACGCAAATGGACTATCGACGACATTACTTCTTACCACAGAGAATCTAGTTCAGATGAACACCTTGACCGTTGAGGTAGGTCTCAACTGTAAATTTAGTTTTAGAAACAAAAGTTGTTGAGGTAAATCTCAACTGAAAATTTAGTTTGAACGACAAGAGCACGTAGCCTCCTTTCTACTGTTGCATTTTTCAATTGATAATTTGATTTTTGAAGGAACAGTTCGTAGGTCGACACACGAACTCTTTTTAAGAAAGTTCGAAAAGGACCCTACAACAAAACGGCCAAATCGGCCTAAACACGGAATCGTAAGATTTTCTCAGGGATGATAGAGGGTCTTCCCAGACACTCAAAACTGGTCATATTTTTTGCCTAACCCCCAGGGAAAAGGGGGGATGGGGGGTCAAAGTCAAAATCTTTAAATTAGCATAACTTCTCAAAGGTTTGTCGTAGAAAGATGATCTTGGTGTCAGAATTTTCAGAAAAATGAGAGCTTTCAGAATGTATGAATGAAATTAATTAAATTTTAAATTTGACCCACTTTTGGGGCATTTTACAAGGTCCCCCTTTCATAAATTTTCGTTTTTTGAGATTTTCGGTTGTTCGGTTTGCACGGATTAAGACAAAAACAATTTCAAATGAAAGTAGAGCGTTTAAGCTTTAAAACAAGCCCAAGATGATCTTGGAGAAACGATTAGAAGCGGAGTTATGAGTCTTCAAAGTTGACGCGGCGCGCGGGAA